TTGTTTCCTCCTTGATCAAAGAAGTCAATTTAGCCATTTTGGCAAGTTCTCCTATCTTTACAACCTATTCCTCCATGATGGGTATTTCTGTATTTTTCCATCTTCATGTGTATAACAGCCTCACTGGAGTTACTATATATAACAACAATCATCCATGAGCCTTTTCTAGTTGACTATCTATAAGTCGCAGTAAGAAAAATGGTGGTTTCATCTGAATATTAATTTTCAAAACTCTCTGCATCACCATTTGTATTTGTGTCCAACAGTTTTTTGTTTTTTTCACAAGTACACCATGCATGATAAAATGTTGCTTCCTGTTTTTCACATTTCAAACGGTAATTAGAAGTGTCTTTATACATCTTAGACAACTTCTCTGGGGTTATATACCCATGGTATATCATTTTGTAAAAGTTTGGTTTTAAACTGTAAGAGCCCCTTTGAGTTCTGTTGTTGCCTGCAAATGCCATCTTGTCTTGTAACAGCTTTTATTTACTTTTTGTGTGTGTGTGTGCTAGTTATGTTCTATTTCATTTTCTCAGTTATACTCTGAGAAGGTAGTGCCCTAATCAAATAAATTAAAGTAAATTAAGTCACCTTTGCCCAGTGGGACCATTGTTGATCATTCAAGACAGATACCCGCTAAACACCAGGGAGTGTTTAGATAAATGACTAACCCACCATCTTGTCTTCCATGTCTTAACATAATTGTTCTGAAACAATGCATGATTCATAGTAGTCCTAGTGATACCAAGTATTTCACATTTTTCTTAATCTTAAACCAGGTTTATTCTGTCAATTCTTTTTGTTCTTCCATCCTCATGTTTTTGGTTAACATCTTTGTTTTCTCTTTATTAATTGTAAACCCAGCTAACCCACCCAAATCCTTTATTTTTTCCATTACTATTTCTATTCCTTCCAAAGTATTTTCCAAAATTATCATCCAATCATTGGCAAACGCCCGTAATTTATATGTTTCCCTTTTAATCCTCACTCCAACAATGCTTTCATCTTGTCTTTTGTCTCTATTCACTACTTCCAGAGCTAAGATGGATAAATATGGTGACAGGGGGCACCCTTGTCTTGTCCCTTTCTGTATCTCACAAGGTTTTATTAATTCTCCATTTACAATTATCTGTGCCTTTTGTGAAGTATAAATCGATTTTACCTATTTAATAAATTCTCACCAAAGTCCATATCTTCTAAACTTTTAAACAAGAAAGTTCAGTTCTGATTGTCAAAGGCTTTTTCTGTGTCTAAAAGATCAATGCAGTTTGTTTTTCATCATGTTGTTCTAAATATTCCAAAATGTCCAGTAGACTTCTCATATTAACTTTCAACTGTCTTTTGGGAAGAAACCACATAGATCTTCATAAATAAAGTCCTGTAAAATCATTTTCATCCTTTCAGCTAAAATTGTGGTAAATAACTTATAATCATTATTCGGTAATGATATTGGGTGGTAATTTTTTGCTAAAGTGAAATCTTGACCTTCTTTATTTAATGTTATATTGGCTTCTATCCAACTGTCCAGTATCTTTCCACTCTGTAAATTAGAGTTCATCATTTTTGCAAAGGTTGTAGTAATTTATCCTCAAAAGGTTTATAAAAAGAGGCTGGTAAGCCATCTGGTCCAGGTGCTTTCCCTATTTTAGCCTTTTTTAAAGCTTCACAAATTTCCCATATTTTTATTTATTTATTTATTTATTTTATGTTTATTTAATTTATTTGTTATTATTTGTTAGTTCTTTCTCTTTATCATAATGATCAGTATGTTTTGTTTCCTTAAATATTCAGTAACTTTTGCCAGGGAGATTTTTTCTCCTTCATACATTTTAGAATAATACTGATGATTTTTTTTATATGTATATATATATATTTACACTGTCTGTTACTATAGTTTTTCGATCTGGAAATTAATTTCTCCTTGAGGAATATCAAGGATATCAACACAAGTTAACCATTTCTTTCCTATAAAATGCTTCTTGTGGAGATGATCATAGGTGTATTCTTGGATACAGTCTAGGTTTATATCTGTTCCAAATTCTCAAAATGGCACGTCTAATAAAGTGATTTTTTAAAATCCACATTAACCTTAACTTTGTGTCCGTCCAAATCGAATAATTTGTTATTTCTCAGCAACACCCATTCTCTCAACCAAACCAAATAA